TTGTAATAATGAAAATCTTATGAGAGATATGTGTCTGTGGTCCAAAATTAAAAAGAAGTTATAGTGATCAGAATAGCAATGAAAACAATGAGCTCCTCATTTACGGAGCCGCAAAGCAGTAGCAGATTTATACCATCAGCTTCAATCCTTAAAAAAAACAAACAAGCAAAAACAATGTACACAAGTCAGCAGACACTGGGTAATTTCTGATAACACAGTGCAGAACTGTACCAAGGAAGCTGCTTCAGGAAATAGCTTGGTGGTGGGAAGGTGAGGAAAGTCAGTGCTTACCCCTTTCCCCCAGGACTTATGGATGTTGTTTGTCATTTTTATTCTTGAGACAAGTTCTTGCTATGTGAGCCTAGATTATCTGGAACTCCCGGTATAGACCAGGCTGGCCTCAAGCTTATGAGCGACCTTCCAGCCTCTGCCTCCTGAGTGCTGAGATTTTATCCACGTCTCACCGTACTAAACTTGCTCCCTCCAGTTTTTAACCCCAATATGAAGGAACAGAGCAGAGAAGTCTGCCATTAGGTTAACCCTCTAGGAAGTGTTCGTTATTAACTGTTACAGGCACTGTTCTCTCCACCCTTCTTGCCCATGGGCTGACATTCTGTCTTTACACATCACGGCACTGACTCCTCAGTTACAGATAACTAGTAAGACATGGTAGACAGACTTGCCACAGGCTAAAATACACTTTCCTTTACCTAAAAGGAAGAATCAAACTATAAAGAAAGCAACAAATAAATGCAACCAGAGTATTTTTTAAGTTTCATCAGTGAGGAGAAAACCAGAGATTTTAAAAACGGTCAATTTAAGGTCGCCGTAGAGCCACTTGAGAGAACGACACAGTGAAAAGAGAAGCCAGTTGCACCATAATGTCCTTTCTGGCCCAGTCTATTTTCAACTCTGGACTAGTAAAATGCATAGATGGAGGGCACTCGAAGCTTCAGCCATCTGCATATACGTCAATACCAAGATGCAGCACACACAGACATTATGGGCAGATGGCACTGACCATCACAGCTTAACGCATGGAGCAAGATTGCTTCTTTGCACTTATTTGCTGTTTTGATTAGTACTCAACATTTTAGAGATTTAGTTTTGGAGGACCATCTAATAAGGAAACATTTGTTCTTCCCCAAGAATAGCTCACGGTGTGGTATGAATCCATTTACTCAGGTGCTTGTCCAAAACCATGTTTTCTCCCTATCATACCCACATTCCTAGGTGTAGAAAGGGGATTTACAAGCAGAAGAGAAGTAAATCTCAATCCAGTGGACAGTCAGAAAAAAAGCAAATCTCTAAGATATGTTAGTTCATTTCTCCTTCAAAAGTTAACTAAATAAAAGTAATGCTGTATTGTCTGCCTTAGGAACTACAGGATTCTTCCTAAAACAAGAACTGCATATGGTTTTAAAATAATATGCATTCTGTTAGACATCTTGTTCATTTTTGTTCCAAAGGGAAATGATTCTTATTCACAGGGCAGAAGCAATCTGCCCCAAAGAGTTTATTATTACACATTAAGGAAAACAGAAAACATGTCCATACATTAAAGAGAGAAAAACACTCTCTGCTACAAAAATGAGTGTGAACTCAAGAGCTTCTGCCCTTTGAGGTGATACCACCACAAAGCCAGGGACCCTGCAAGGTAAAAAATCACCTTGGACATAGCACCATTGACACAGTGATCTTCTTAGACTATAACAATCGGATATAAAGCAGAATACTTAGGAAGACAAATGGATAATGTCAAGGTCACATTGGGTTCTGGCTTTAGGACAGCGAATGCTGCTTTTTAAGGTTAGAACATAAATTCTAAATAAATATTTATAAAACTCCATTTTAAAACAGTGTTTTCAACTGGAGCACAAGCCAAACCCAACTTTTGTGTTATAGTTTCACAGCTAAGACAAAAACGTGAAGAAAAAGGAAAACAGCACTCTTTAGGATTCACTTTTAATTAAAAATCATCACTTTGTGTTTAGGCTGAGATCTGTGTCATTGAACCAGCCTTCCTTTTTTTTTCTTAAAAGCCAGGCAGCTATTTAGATGTTTAAAATGAACAAAATCCATTGTTGTTTTGACTTGATCTTTCTTTTCCTTTCAAAAATATAAAAATAAAGTACTGTAAAAACTCAATTTGATGTGCCAAGAAATAAATTTTCAGCTGTCTGAAATGACAGTATCCTCAAAACGGCTCTCAGATCAAATCATCCAGTGTTTTACTTGGAGCAAGAATGAGTTTAGCCAGAATGGAAAAAGTTTAGTAGGGCATTAATTTTCATATAGCTTAGTTACGATTTACTTCAGATTTGTACCCCATTTTCAACTTTGTTCTAGGGTTCTCCACTCTTGGGGGGGGGTGACTCCTGGCATGGAGCACCGAGGTCTCAATTTTAGTCGCCTGTCTGTCAAACAGAAGAGAAACTCATCTGCCGGGAGCAAGCCAGCAGGGAGCCACACAGGGCATCTCTGGAAGGCTGTGCAGTAGCCCTCAGTCCTGCCCTGTTAGGGTAGTGACCCCTCAGCATGCTGAGGCCTGCCTGGGGTGATGCGTGCAGTTGTTCAGAGGTGAGTGCTGGTGTGCATGTTATCACCTATGGTATATGTGGCTCTTTGGCGCCATTGTGAACCTTTGCATGCATATTCTAATTCTCTATTCTTTTGTATATGATGACATGACCCCCCCCCCCGCCAGGGAAGAAAAAGCCAGTACCTGCCTCATTCAATTTCACCTAAGTGCAAATCCATAAGCACATTATTTTAATCCCCGTTATGAAATCTGTGAACAGCTCAGGACAGCTTCTCCTAGGCTCTGCATTCTGAGAGCCTCTCTCTTCATTTTGTGTTGACCAAAGAGCAGTTGTTAGATAATGATAACCTTAGTTGTGCCTGCTTCAGTTAGGTAGTAAACACTGACAAAGAATCACAGGGTCTCTTAAGGAGAAAGGAGTTAAAGAGGAAACAGATAAGCAGGCTCCTGGAAGTGATGAAGCAAAGGTGGAAATGTTTTATATTCATGTTGTTTGGGGATAGAAACTAATAAAATTCCCCTACAGAAGTACAAATATGTTAGTGGATTTGAGATAGTGACAATTTAATTGCTTTTTGTTTGATAGACTTGGATCTGAGGTCCCCAGAAGGAACATGGTACTCTGGGAAAGAAGGGCAAATTTAAGAGGTGGGGACCAGTAGGTTTTGAGGTCACTGAAGGCGTGTTCCTGAAAGGAAGTCTAGTGCCTTCCGCTCTCTTTTTGTCCCGACCGATGAGCTAAACGGTTGTGCTTTCCCTCTTCTTTCCCACCATAGTGCAGGGCCGTATCACAGGTCCCCAAGCAACAAGCCCACAGACTATAAACTCAAATGCTGTCAGCTGAGACAAACCTTCCCCATTATATGAGCTGGTTATCTCAGCGGTGTTATTACAGCAACGCAAAGCTGACTGGCGCTGCTGAGGTAGAGAGAGTCAGAACCAATTATTTCTAAACCAAAAGAGAGCACGCTTCTAGTCTGCTTTTCAGCATGGCAACTCATTTGTCCAAAGCCGAACACAAAGATCAGTTCCTTCCACTCCTGAGAGAGGGACACCCTTAAACCTCCACTTCCTGGCAAGGAGAAAGTCTCGGGGGTCGGTGCTTCCCCTACTCCCGGGGGAGATGAGTGAATTTAATGAGAAGGGCCACTTTCCCCAGATTTCTGCCTTTCTTTCCATGTGTTTTGTATCATTTGCATTTTTTTTTCTTGACTCGGGTACAACTTTATTCTTCTTTATTTAAAACAAACTGGTTGCCATCCTTGACTCAAAAGAGGTTTATCCGCAATGGAAAGACTGACTTCCATTTGAGATGAGTTCTGTGAGCCACATCAGCAGAAGCGTCATAAAGGTATTTGACACAAGAAAAACGCCTTCGTCTTTAATTTTACCAAAGTTATGCATTATCTATAATCTGTTGCTTATGTGGAGTTGCCTGCTTTAATATGTTTTTGATAGACAACAAGGCACCAAGAACTTTGGGTAAATAATAGATGTTAAAAATAGCTGCTACCTAACAATGTTACTGGAATAATTAGAGTGCAGAAAAGCTCTCACATAAGCAGCCAACTGAAAACAAAGGTTGGCATGAATCTGTTTCTTGGGTTCTTTTCAAATTAATACAGCACACTCATTCCAAACTCATCTCTCCCCCTTAGAACTACTTAAGTTGTTTTCGTTTCATTTGCCTTTAACTCCCCCAAAGCATACAACGCTGGATACCACCCTCTGTGTTTTTTGTTTAGTAGGTTCAAACAGTGCCAGTATGTATTTATATGCATGAACTATCTGTATGCTTTGCCTTCTTACTCAGAGCAAGGAAAATATTCTTAAAGAAAGTTCCCTTTCTAGCTAAAGTCTATGGTGTCATAGTCTTCAAACACACACACACACACACACACACACACACACACACACAATGCATTTTGTTGCTGGGTAGCTGGTTGTGGCAGAACACAGCTAAAAGTTCTTCTCCGCAACCCAACAGGAGACTAGCAGAGACCACACAGACCCTTGGGATTGTTGTAGCACCATTGAACCTATCTTTGAACCTGGAAGTACATAACATTATTGCAAAAACATTGCAAAAAATTACAACTACATCCTCCTTCCAAAAAAGAAAAACAGCCAGTAGTTTTTCTGGACTTAGGACTCCTCAGATCAGTTAATATATTCTAAACAGAAATTCTATTACTTAAGTCTTTAGATGAAAAATAAGGCTCCTAAAATGACTGAAAGTTCTGACATGTCCATCAAGACCCCATAGGAACCCATTTGGCTTTCCTTCGATGAAATTTCTCCAGAGACATGAAACTGACAGAGCAATAAACAGCATGCCAACCATTTTCAAACATCTCCCCAAAATGTGTTGAACTCATGTAAAGGTATTGTGTAGCTGCAAGACCTAAATGGTGCATGATGTCATAGCATTTCATGAAGTCCTGAAAGAGATACTTGCATTTTGCTGTCACTTTGTAACCCCCTAGTGGAGGGGTGTGGCCTTCCAATGCATCAAATCCAGCAGAAACCAGGACCATGTCTGGATGGAACTCTCTGGCCACAGGCATCACAACCGTCCTGCACAGTGAAAAGGCAGCAGTCACTCAAGGGAAAGGTGAGTACCTGTAAAACTGCTTTGTAAAAATGACTTGGCACAGCCTCAGTCACTTCCCAGGAAAAGAAGGAGAAGGAAATGCAAAGGGGATCAAAAGCTTATCATTTCCTTCATTCATGAACCCTGTTGTTTTAGCACCCAAACACAGTCTTTTTCCTTTCATCTTTTTTTTTTTTCCTTCTCCAGACTGAAAAGCACCACGCTCCGCAGGTACACTCTGAAGCCTGTCACAGCACACACATCTGCAGCTGCTTTATCCCATGGCCTATAAAAAAGAAAACCCCGCTTCTTCCAAAGGAGACTAATGTTTTACAGAGGAAAACTGAAGCTTTAGGGAGAGCCTAGCTTGCTCTAGTTAGTAAGAAATTGGTATAAATTTGAACTATAAATTTCTGTTGGGAAAAAGTTTGCTTTCCCAACTTTTTAAAAAAATATATTTTAAAATATTTGTCATGGTAGGGGGTGACTCTTGCAAAGGAAAAACACAAAATTCCCTTAATAGAATCCAGATTATGACGTTAAGTGAGTCCAAGGCCAGACACACCAGGAATGTGGCAGCCTTGTTGCTGGCAGCAGCCCCTGCCGGCCCCACTTAGACACATCAGCACTCACCTCTCGGCCTCCTCGGGGTTCTGACCCTTCCCATCCCTCTTAGTTTTGAGAGAAAATGACTGAAGGACCCCAGGAAAAAAAAATTTTATGAGGGCTTAAAGCTCAGAGTGCATCATAAAAATTCAAATACCAAAGAATATTTCATAAAATGAGGAAGCAGCACACTAATATGAATTTACTAGTTAGACTTCTGTCTGTGAGAACTAAAACAAGTGGTCTAAGAGTAATCCTTCAGTAGTAGAATAATTAGCTCTTTGGTTTTTAGAAATGCTTTAGATTTTTGACAACAATCACATGCCAGTTTTATGTAAAGAAATCTTGATTAACTGTCATAAATAAGAAATTTAAATTAAAAATAACTACATGAAACTTATCTAGAGAGAGATATAAATTAACTCAACACTTTTGCCCCCGTAATAACCCTCTGCTAGTACAAACTGCCAACCATCAAGCCCCCAAGCATACGTATTCATGTAGTCCTCTCCACAGCTGGAAAATCACGTAAGACTGAGTTGTATTCACCAATGGAACTAAAAATACATGATTCTATTCACAATGTATAACTTACTTATTTTTTCAATAATGTTATTCATCTTCTGCATGGATCCATGATCTGAAGAGATAATAAGATACTTTTCTTCAACAGTACCAGGTCTGCTGTTTTCATAGAAATGTTGTGTATAATCCTTCATTGATGTGCATGAATAAAGTGACCATGTGCCATTGAGAGGTTGTATCAGAGAATCTAAAATATTTTCTCAAGATCCTCTCTTTATTTTGGTGGGTGCTCTGTTTTGTTTGTGAGATAACCAACCCATTCACTGTGCCAGTCATTTCTGAGTTCACAAACAAGCGGTTTTCAACCAAGCTCCATCTCCAGCAACTCAATCTTATGCAGGTGTACTCACTCCAAAAATAATTTGAGGGAAAATTATACATACATTCCAGCTAGCTTTAGTTGTAAACTTGTTACAGCCTGGGGTCATCTGATAAAAAAGCCTTGATTGAGAAATTTCTTAGATCAGGTGTCTGTGGGCCTTGTCTTGATTATCAATTGATGCAGGCTGGTCCAATCCACCATGCATGGCATCATCCCTAGGCCAGTGGTCCTGGGGTTGAGCAAGCCAGCCAGCAAGCAGCATTCTTTCATGGTTTCTGCTGTCATCCCTTGGCCAGGGAAAATGCTCCCTGAATAAGCTAGCCAGCTTGCTTTCCAGTTGCTGCCCTGACTTCAGTCGAGGAAGGACACTGACCTGAAAGTGTAGGATGAAATAAATCCTTTTCTCCCCAAGGTGGTTTATGCCATGCTGTTAGTTAAAGTAACAGGAAGGGAAGTAGAACACTGTATCATCTATTAAAATTCTCCATGTCACACCATACATTCTCAGCACTCGGCACTCTCCTCAAAGCAATGCTTAGCCTTTAAAAATGATACATTCTTGGATTTTTGTCCAGACAGCAACCATTTGCTGAATGTACTAGCTGTGTATGAATAGAGAAATTTTGTGTGATGTCCTGTTGCAAAATAGTCTGCAAATTTTCTGTTAAGCTAAAGAACAACATGGCAACAACTGCTTATAAATAGTGATACTGGTGACATTTTGCTCATTAACTTCAACTAATGCACATTGTTTACTTTGTTGCAAACACTGCCATGGCTAAAGTTCGTTCAATTTCAAACTGAGTCTTAATTCTTTTCCTATTGTTGACATAAACACTTCCTTGCTTATATCCCACAAACAGTACTAATATTTCCCAGATCTACTTATTTTGATAAATTAATGAAATATTTTACATGCACGAGTGTGTGTGTGTGTGTGTGTGTGTGTGTGCATGACACTGTGCCTGGTGTCCACTGAGGCTAGAAGAGGGCATTGGTTCCCATGGGACTAGAGTTACAGATGGTTGTGAGCTACTGTGTTCATGCCCAGTTCCGCTGGAACAGCAGCTAGTGTCGGGCCCTTCCTCCAGCCCCATATTTGGTAACTTTTAAAGAGATATCACGGAAGTCTTCGAGCTCTTCTGTTTATGTTGGCATGGACCTTGAACATCCACTACAGCCGTGTCCCCTTTCCAAACCTCATATTGAAATTAAGTACCATTGTTACAGTATGGATCATTGCCATTGCCGTGGGAGTGGGCTCCAGATGCACAGATGAGTCTGCCACGTTTCCTGTCTGCCCTGTGCCTATTCGTATGTCCTTCCACCATGGCACAGCGTGAGAGCCAATACCAGTACCACAATCCTGGACTTCGTACTCTTCATAACTATTTCCCAAATAAATCTATGCTCTGTATCAATTGTCTATCTTTAGATAATCTGTCAGAGCATCACAAAATGGACTAAGACAATGTATGAAAGACCAAAAGATGTTATGAAAATACTAAGTAGAAAAAGAAGCATAATTTTTCTTGAACAAACTCCACAAAGACATTCATGGGTTTGTTGTTAAAAGGAGCATCATATACTTCCTAATAACCATGACACTCCAAAGGCAAAAGTGATTGTATAGCTAATGTTCTATTGTCAATTGCCAATAAAAAAATACAGAAATTCTTGAAAAGTGAGTGACTCCGGGACATTATCACCAAAAGTATGAGCTAAGTAAGCAGCACTGCATGGTGGCAAGGGAGTCAGCAGAAGAGATGAGGGCATGCTCAAGGCCAAATGAACTAAAAGCAGAAAAGCCTGGGGTGGCTGGACCTGGAATAATTCCAGAAACACAAGAAGTAATGCTAAGAGTGGATTACAAGCTATAAAATCAGGTAAGTAGTCGTGAGTCCATAGTATAACAGAGACATAACTGAGAAGAGAGGAAAACAGCTTTTTCTACAGAATGAACTATCAACCGACAAATGTCCAAGAATTCAAGGAATCCAGAAAATCACCATTCTAATAAAACAAAACAAAACAAAACAAAAACGAAGGAATCAAGATTCACAGATTTTATGCATATTTCACATTAGAGGATATAAGAGACACATGTAAAAACTTTATTATTGAGAAAATTCATGAAACTCCAATGTTCTTTCAAGATAAAAATTAAGTATCAGATAAGAAATAGCACTAACTGAACAATGGAAATATTATCAGCAAATGGACTTCTTTTTTTCTTTTAAAAATGAATTTACATATTCACTTTACTTACGGATATGTGTGCCTTCAAGAGTTTGTGTGCTTCGTATGCATGTAGTACCCAGAAAAGAAAAGAGACTGTTGGAGCCTCCGAAAATGTAGTTAGTTATACAGATGCCTGTGAGCTCCCATACCGCTGTGAGAAGCTCTGGTTCTCTGTGAGAACAGCCAGTGCTCTTAACTACCAAGCCATCTCTGCAGCCTAGCAAACAGACTCTTTAAACAAAGTTTGAGCAGAGAAAACAAAAGGGGAGCAAACTAGAAAAGTGAATCAGACAAGGAAGCTACTGCCCAGAACTTGATATAGAAGGAACTAGAGAAGAGATGAGAGATATTTGGCCCCAGGAAATCGTCAGTAAGAAAATTGGTACAGTGGAAGAAAAAAACCAGGACTATAAACAAGACATTTAAAGATCAGTAAAAACCACTAGAAGTTGTCCAAACACCCTAATTGCTTTTCCTCCTGCTAACACGCAGGCTAAGCATCCAGGTGGTCTCTTCCTTAATGGCAAGTATGCATGGACAAAATCTATTTGTTTGGCACTCCAGGCATTAGAGACCACTAGCCACTTCCCAGAATGTTAATCCCAAAATAGAGTTTGGAGGGGTTAAAGATACTTTCTGATCAGAATCTCAATGGACTCATTTACATACTCATTAGAAAAACTGACATCATCTATTGCCTTCTTAAATATCAATGGAAAACATGAAGAGGCCCAAAAGTATAGAAAAACCACATTAAAATAAACATATAAACAACTGGAAATAAACAGATATAGTTCAGGCAATAAATAATATTCTCAAACATACACTATATTCAAATAAATATATCATATGTAAACCCATAAAATATGTGCAAATATATTAATATATATAAATATATATATAATATATTTATATATATTAAGGTATGATTTAATGTACCTCATTAAACTATGTACCTCATGCTGGTCTGGAACTCAAAATGTACTCACTTATTTTTTTCAGTGCTATGACTAAGTGTCTGACAATAAACATTCTAAAGATGAACTGTTTATCTTAGCTCACAGATGGACGGTATAATCCACTATGGCAAGAATACATGATGACAGAATCTAGAGCCATCTTGCTCACATTCATGAAATCCAAGATATAAAGACTGTACAGGAAGCCAGGCTAGTCTGTAAACCTCACGGCCAGACAACAATTGGAGATCCACTTCCTCCCGCTAAACCT